CGTAACGGGACGTAACGGCCCGTAACTAACCGTAACGGAACTGAACGCGAGCGGGAAACGCACTCGGTACGCTCAATCAGATCCAAATCGAGCGCAGTCACGGGTTTGGAGGGGGAGGTAAAAGTGGGGGGGGGGTAAAAGGGAGGGGGAGATTGTAAAGGGAGCAGTGGTGGCGCAGGGGGGGGGGAGTGCACGAGCGACGAACGCGGCAGCGCACAGGAGTGATGCGGCCAGGCAATCCAGCCCAACAGTGGATTGTGCCATTCGCAGTCGATTTCCTCCCCGATATTAGTTTTGCCTCGGTGGGTGTCCGCCCTGGCTGTGCCCTGGCGCAGGACACAGCCACCCCCGCGACTACCCACTCCTTACTTCTCCTCCCTCAATACCTCCTCCGACTACAGTTTGGCCCTGGACTGGAGCAGCGTTTATCTTCTCGTCGAGGACTGGTGTGTCCTTGTATTTTTTGTAAGGAATTTTCCTCGCGGTTTAGGGACCCTATTTTCTGGGAGTAGTTAAACGTTCTACATACACTTCAAAGAAAACCTAAAGTGGTAATTTAATCAAACTCAAAAATTCCCAATCAGGCACATTTTGTTTTTTGCTTGCGGTGTTAATTTACGTTTGTGCTGAGATTTGGGGCGGGTTGGGGCGAGCCTGGAGGACGAGGTCGAGCGAGTGCAAGCGAAGGGGCAGCAGCGAACGTCTCTCAGCCGCACACCCCAGGAGGCCCTGCGCCTGCGCCATCCCTCTCTGGCTGGGGGATCCGCGAGGTCGGACACACACACAGCCAGCGGATATTGCTGGAAATTGCTTCCCAATCTCGCTCTCTGCGCTGCTCCCCGGGGTTCTCAGAGAGCACGGCGAAGCAGCAGCGGGGCGGGGTACCCGGACGCGATCTCCCCGTCGAGGAGCAGGAGGACCCGCGCACCCCGGCGGCCGCCGAGCCTCGCCCCCGGGCCGAAAGGACGAGGAAAAGCATCAGAGGCGTTACGTAGAGAACGACAGAAAGATGAATTCCGTCGCCGGGCAGCCGACATCCCTGCGACTGCCCAGGGCGAGAGAGAGAGACGGACGATCCTGCATCTCTCTCTCTGCTCCCTCCCCCCCCTTTTTATCCCACTGTGTCCTCCTGACACACCACCGACAATTTTTTTTCCTCCTTGACGTTCTCGTTCCACTCCCTCACTCACACAGCGCGCTGACAGTCCCGCTGAGCGGTCCGGGCCGCCGCAACGCCCCTGGCGGTACCACCGGCTCGGGTCCGGCCGGTCAGCAGCCGCCCCCATCCCCGCCACGCCACGCCACGCCACGCCACATCAGGGATCGCCGCGCGCCCTTTTGCTTTGGCCCGACATATCCTACCTCCCACCACTCACCCCCAACCCCCCAAACCTCGGCCCGCGTCCACCAGAGGCCCAGGAGGACGACGACGGTTCGGAGAGGAGGAGGAGGAGGAGGGAAACTTTCTTTTCCCGGGGTGTCGCTCGCGCGTAACTCGAGCTGACACGCCGCGCCGGCCGCCGGCCTCCACCCGCCACCTCACTGAGCAGCAGGATCCCGTGGTGGTGGTGGTGGTGGTGGTCCGGGGCCTCGCAGGCCTCTCTCGCCGCGGTCCTCACCGGGGCAGCAGAGCGGGCTGATATCGCTCGACCGCACGGCCTCGCGGGCAACGTGAACACCGGGGAAATACAAGTTGGGAGCGAGGGGGGGGGGGGGCGGCTAAAAAGAAATTGGCGGGAACGTTCACTTTACCTCGGCCTCGGCCCGGAAGGGAAAAGTGGAGGAGGGGGGGGGGGGGGTCAGCCTCCGGCCGTCAGCCCGTCGCCGACGTGTCCCACCGCCGCGCAGCCCCGTAGCCATCGGGTCGGACTGGACAGGCTCTCTCACACGGAGTGAGGCGTCGTGAGGGAGAGAGAGAGATAGAGAGAGAGAGAGAGCGAGATAGATGGGTGGAAACTATTTTATTTTCCTCCTTATCCTCGTCGCAACGCCACTCGTTTCATTCTCACTCACCGGTATAGGGTTGAAAATTTCCAAAATTTTCCGTAAAATTCCCGAAAAATTCCCCGAAAATTTCTGGAAAATGACGGAAATTAAATCTTTCAAAGTCTGGGAAATTTTCCGTCTCTTCCCGGAAATTTTTCTTTTTTTTTTCCTGCCACGCCACCTTCTCAGTGCTTTCTTCCTCTTGTTCCAGCTACCCTATGAAAAAGTAAAGCAAACGTGTGATGCAAACACGTATATATTGGCAGACAATCATCGATAAAACGAAACGGCTGGAGTGACGGGCACCCGACGGGCACTCGAATATATTGAGCAGGAAAAAATGGGAACAATAGAGGAGGGGTAAGGCGGGGCAGAGGGTGCGGGATGCGAGACCGGGTCGCCCAAAAGAGATCGGAGAGCGAGGGGACAGGGGACAAGTAGTCATCCAGCTATCCCGCAGGTGTCTGCCGAAAGAGGGGCGCGGGTGCGGGCGGGTGGTGTGTGGGAGAGCAGCAGCCGGCCGTCTAGCAGCCAGCTCCGTCCGCAGGTGTTGCCGCCAAGGGCTCCAAACTTTTCCTAGACAGACGCGGCGAAGGCGCTCGCCTGCTCGCCTTACTGGCTCCAGCCCCCACCCCGCCCCGCCCCGCCAACTACCCCTACCACCCCGTGTGCTCCTGCACGCGCACCCTTTGACTCCCTCCAAAGGAAACTACTTGTCTGCCCATTCAATTTACAGGCAGGGCGTGGTGGTGGTGAGGCCATGGCAGGAGCAAGGGGCGTGGCGGGGCGTGGCGGGGCGTGGCGTGGCGGGGCGTGGCGGGGCGGCCGCCTATCTTTACAAGGGGCTCCAGGGAGGCCGCCTCCTCGCGCTCGCAATAAGGATGATCAGCCGCGCCCCTCGAGAGCAGAGGAATGTGAGTGAACAGCCCCGACAAACAACACGGGGAGGAGAAGGAGGAGGAGAAAGTAGGGAGAAAAAAGAGAGAAAAAACACGGTAAGGTATGGAGAGGTATGCGACGCTTTGTGGGCGATATTATGGGCTTAAGGGGCCGTGCCGGGGGTTTTTACAAAGGGCAAAAAGGATACGCGGGCACATGAGAATACAGGCGCGCGCGCCTGCGACACAATTGAGTAAACTACCGCGAGGACGGCGCGCGGGAAAACTCACAACTGGTGAAGAGTGAAAAGGGCGTAAGTCCACGGACTTCCGACTGGACTTGTTTTTACTTTTTAACAGTGAACTCTCTCCCGAAAAAATGGGAAAAGGGAGGGAGAGTAATTTTATTCAGTTCTAAATGTAAGAGGTACATGCACTTACATTCAAATTAGAGGTAGATTTCTTTCAAACACAACTCACCTCTAAATACGATTAGAGCGAAGCTTCTTGTTTACGTCAGTATGAGGGTTTTCTTTTTCGTTCTACGTCGTGTCTCGCTCAACTCATCCCCCCGCCACCCCCTCTCTCTCCAATTAATGGGCGGGAGATATTCAAAGCCATGTCGGACTCAGAAGAGCCCTCTATTTATCCCCCAACCCCC